GTGGAAAATTTCAGTGTAGCCTAATTAACACAAATATCATTTGTACAGGGCTCAGGGGCTGCTTTCCCCTTGGGGGCGGCTCTATTTTAAGGTTGGGGCCTGAGATACGTGGGCACAGAGGGGTTAGGAACTACTAAGGGAGATGAACTTGTCAGTTTGTCGTCCTGTGGTGGCTTACATGTTGCTGTAAAGCTGGAGGCTATGCCACCGGTGTTGCAAAATGCCAGCAGGGTTACCCATGGTGGACAGGTTTCAGCAGAGCTTCTGGGCTAAGACAGAAGAAGGAAGAGGCCATCCACTTCTCAAACCACTGGCCAGTGAAAACCTTATGAATAGCAGTGAAACACAATCTGACATATTACTGGAAAACTTTATGAATAGCATGAAAACATTGTCCGATATAGTGCCAGAAGATGAGCCCATCAGGTCAGAAAGCACTCCAAATTTGACTGGGCAAGAGCTGACTCCTCATAGTAGAGATGACCTTAACGATATAGACAGAATAAAGCTTTCAGGACCTACATTTGCTGATGTAGCACGACTGAAAATGAGTAGAAACAGATGCAAACATCCATTAATAACTGGAACACGGAATGTACGATGTATGAATCTAGGAAAATTGGAAGTTGTCAAAAATGTAGTGGAATGCATAAAGATCAATATCCTAGGCATCACTGAGCTGAAATGGACTGTTTTTGGACATTTTGCATCAGCTAACCATATGATCTACTACGCTGGGAATGAAAAACTGAAGAGGAATGGCATAGCATTCATCATCACAAAGACTGTTTCAAGATCTGTCTTGAAGTACAATGCTGTCAGTGGTAGGATAATATCCACATGCCTACAAAGACAACAATACTACTACTATTCAAATCTATGCACCAACCACCAAAGCCAAAGACAGGAAATTGAAGATTTCTACCAACTTCTGCAGTCTGAAATTGACCAAACATGCAATCAAGATGTGTTGATTATCACTGGTGACTGGCATGCAAAAGTTGTAAACAAAGAGTTACTGGTAGTTGGAAAATATGGTCTCGGTGATAGAAATAACGCTGGACATTGCATGATAGAATTTTGCAAGACCGAGGATTTGTTCATCGCAAAGACCTTTCTCCAACAACATAATCAATGGCTGTACACGTGGACTTCATCAGATGGAATACACAGGAATCAAACAGACTACATCTGTGGCAAGAGGTAATGGAGAAGTTCAGTATCTTTAGCCAACACAATACCAGGAGCTAAATGTGGAACAGACCATCAACTGCTCATATGCAAGATCAAGTTGAAGACAATTAAAACAAATCCACAAGAGCCAAAATATGACCTTGATTATATCCTTCCTGAATTTAGAGACCATCTAAAGAACAGGTTTGATTAACTGAACACCAATGACCAAAAATGAGAGGAATTGTGGGGCAACATCAAGAACATCATCCATGAAGAAAGCAAAAGGTCATTAAAAAGACAGGAAAGGAAGAAAAGACCAAAATGGATGTCAGAATAGACTCTGAAACTTGCCCTCGAGTGGAGTAGCTAAAGCAAATGGAAGAAATGACTAAGATAAAAGAGCTGAACAGATTTCAAAGAGCAGCTCAAGATGACAAAGCCAGTTACTATAAGGAAATGTGCAAAGACCTGGAGTTCGAAAACCAAAAGGGAAGAACATGCTTGGCATTTCTCAAGCTGAAAGAACAGAGGAAAACATTTAAGCCTTGAGTTTCACTACTGAAAGATTTTATGGATAAAATATCGAATGATGCAGGAAACATCAAAAGAAGATGGAAGGAATACAGAGAGTTACTGTACCAAATAGACATGGTCAATGTTCATCCATTTCAGGAGGCCGCATATGATCAAGAACCAATAGTATTGAAGAAGGAAGTCGAAGCTGCACTGAAGGAATTAGCCCAGAACAAGGCTCCAGGAACTGATGGAATATTCACTGAGATGATTCAACAAACGGATGCTGCACTGGAGGCACTCATTGAGCTATGCCAAGAGATTTGGAAGACAGCTACCTAGCCAAATGACTGGAAGAGATCCATATTTGTACCCATTCCAAAGAAAGGTGATCCCACAGAATGTGGAAATTATTGAACAATATCAGTATCACATGTAAGTAAAATCTTACTGAAAATTCCAAAACACTTGCAGCATACTGACAAAGAACTTCCAGAAATATGAGCTGGATTCAGAAGGGGATATGGAGCAAGGGATTATCATAGCTAACTAATATCAGATGGATTTTGGCTCAAAGCAAAGAATACTAGAAACATGTTTGCTTGTGTTTTATTGACTATGCAAAGGCATTTAATTGTGTGGATCTTAACAAATTATGGATAACATTGAGAAGAATGGGAATTCCAGAATACTTAATTGTACTCATGGAGAACGTGTACATAGATTAGGAGCCTGTCGTTCAAACAAAACATCGAACAGAACAAGGGGACACTGCATGGTTCAGAATCAAGAAGGGAGTGTGTCAGGGTTGTATCCTTTCACCACACTTGTTCAATTTGTTTGCTGAGCAAATAATCTGAGGAGATGGACTATATGAAGAACAATGTGGCATCAGAATTGGAGGAAGAAGATTCATTAACAATCTGCGATATACAGATGACACAACTTTGCTTGCTGCAAGTGAGGATGACTTGAAGCACTTGCTGGTGAAGATTAACAACTACACTTTGCAGTATGGATTACACCTCAAAATAAAGAAAACAGAAGTCCTCACAACTGGTCCCATAAATAGCTTCACGATAAATGGAGAAAAGACTGAAGTTGTCAGGACTTCATATTACTTGGTTCTACAATCAACACCAATGGATGCAGCAGTCAAGACATCAGACGTTTTACATTGTGCAAATCTGCTGCAAAAGACCTCTTTCAAGTGCTGAAGAGCAAAGACTCCTTGAAGACTAAGGTGTGCCTAACATAAGTCATGGTATTTTCAATTGCCTTTTATGCATGTAGCATAGTGGCTAAAGCACTTGACTGCTAACCAGAAGGCTGGCGGTTCAAACCCACCAGCCGCTCCTCGGAAGGAAGGTTGGGCAATCCTACTTCCGTAGTGATACTGCCTCGGAAACCCAAGGAGGGGTCGCCATGAGTCGGGGCCGACTCGACGGCACATAACAACAACAACAACAACATAAGTCATGGTATTTTCAATTGCCTTTTATGCATGTGAGAGCTGGACAATGTATAAAACTGAAGAAAAGTTGATGCGTTTGAGTTATGGTGTTGGAGTAGAATGCTAAGAGTACCACGGTTTGCTAAAAGGACTAACAAATCTGTCCGGGAAGAAACGCAGCTGGAATGCTCCTTGGAAGCGAGAATGGCCAGACTTAGTCTCACCTTCTTTGGTCATGTTGTCAGAAGGAATCATTCCCTGGAGAAAGACATCATGCTTGGTAAAGTGGAAGGTCAACGAGGAAGGGGAAGGCCCTCAACGAGATGGACTGACACAGTGGCTACAACAATGGGCTCAGGTATAGCAGGGATCATGAGGCTGGCACAGGACTGGGCAGTATTTCGTTCTGCTGTGCAAAAGGCCGCAATGAGTAGGAGATGATTCCATGGTACCTAACAACAACAACATTCTTTTAGGTCATCCATGAGGGTACAGAAATAGGTTTTGTTACAAAGAAGACTTGTATTTTTATAGTGGCATCACTAAGCAATGTGGACCACACTGGTTGACACTGTCTGAGGGGGTGACACCAAAATGACTGTCTGTAAAATTTTTGTGCAGTGTTTCAGCAGTAAATTATTTTTTAAATATCCCTGTAGTTAAGTTATAACAACAAAAATAATTTTTGTAAGCCCAGCTTACATGTATCTATATACCCATGAGGCTAAAACTCTATGCTAATTTACTTTTGAACCTTCTAATGGGCTCAGATCAGAGCCCAATTACTGTGATGCTTGGAATCCCGTGGTTTTGTTTGCATGTGTTACAAGGATGCACTGTTTCTCTTGCTGCTGTCTTTATAATTGCTAATTTTGTTAAATTTTCTGGTATTTTAGCCACAATACTGTAATTAGTATTTGTGAAACTGTATCAATAACTTTTTTGAGAATGAAGTAGTAATTAAAGGAAAGAAAAACAATCTAAAAAGACTTCTGCTCAGTTACTAATAATATTGAAACTAGTAATGTTATAATTCAATGTAGAAACTTTTTACAAAACAATTTTGTTATTATTCATGTAATCTAGGAAATATTACATTAAAGAAATTTACAGCTATAACGTATTATTACTCTATGATTAAAACTGATTTAAAAAAAACATTACTAAGGATTCTGTATGGTCTGGTAAGGGAGAAGGTCCTTAGGGGATGACACCCCGAGTTATTGTACTGGGTGACACCAACCCTACTGCCACAATTGAATGGGATTTTACCTGTAATTATAGTAAAGGCTCACATTCATTGAGCATCCAGTGCATATCAGGCAATTGTTAAGAATTTTACATGGACTGACATTTAAGCCTCCCAACAACCCTATGAGTTAGATATGATTATCATCATCTCCATTTTATAGATGGGAAATGAGCTTCATTAAATAACTTACTCAAGCTCCTTGACGTTCTGCAGCAGGGATTCAAATGCCAGACACCAGTTAACACACTAAATCTATGCTATACTGACTTCCTACCTATATATAGAGAGATGAATATGCCCCATTCGTATAAAATCACATATTCTATCATATTTTTCTCTCTTGTATTCCATTTAAAATGCATCCTGAAAGTATTCAATCATCAGAAGACAGTGCTTTCTAAGCATAGTATTGACTTGAAAATTGTATTTTCTCTATTATAATTATTAATATTTATAATTTTAACTATTTTCAAACTGTATATAAAACATGAGACATGAAAAATAAAAAAATTCCACACTGTAAGAGAACACAACCAGCTGACTGACATCCCATTAAAAGTATCGTAAGACACAAATTTTAAGTTTGCATTTAACAACACTAAAGAATGAGGTATATAAATGTTTTAATCACAGACTTTTACTGTATGCAATTAACTGTATTTCACAACTAGCATCTTACAAAAAGACAGTACCACTGTGCCTGTAAAAAGTACTGCAATTAAACAGAAAATTACATTACCACGAGAAACCACTAAGTTATCACAACTGTCAGGGTCTACAGTTTTTTTCTTTAAACGTGATAATGATGTCTTTTATGTGATATTTTGTATTCAGGTTATGTTTTTAACTTAATTAACATTTCGTAAGTCTCCTACAGGTGGATATATATTAAGCAAGTGGTTAAGAGAAAGCAGGAGACCCTAAGAGAATTTAAGGAAGTACTGTGTGGTTTCTAGTTTGGATTTTTCAGTACAACACAGAATGCTTATTAGTTGTAAACAAAAATGCAAAATCTGTAGTCATAAAAATATTTTATTGGTAATTTTACATAATAGTGACTGGGGCTGTAAATACTTTTATATCAGGATACTGATAAATGCATAAACTGACAGTTATGTCTGAGAACAGGGCACTATGATTTTCATAACAATTGTTAACAAGAGGCCAATTTAACTTATTTTAAATTAGTTATTTCCCAGTTCTGTGCAACATCTCTCATTTCTGTATTAATTAGATTCATACCTCTATGACCCTAGATAATTTGAGGGGAAAGAAAACAGTGATAAAACTATCATTAAATTAAAGCTTTTTCAAAATTGCAGCTTTTAAAATATGGTAGTTATCTTTTCTCTTTTTGCTAAATGCTTACAATTATTTGCGTTTTAATGTTTTATATAATACAGAAAATACCAGTGTTCAATGACAATAACACTAAACCTGAATTATAAAGCTAAATAATCAATGTTTTATTGCTTACTAGACTGCTAGTAAACATTACAATAAATGTCTTCAAAAATAAGAAAAAAAAGCAAACAAAACCAGAAACAATAATTTAGTAAAACGTGTCAAAAACATTGGCAAAGGTTCATACAAATTCTTTATTTAATAACAACTTTCCTATTTAACCACACCAAGTACCAGCAGGTGCATTTAAGAGGATAACCATTAAGAAAAAATCCTACTGCAGCAATAGTTGATTAAGTTGATCTTTGACTTGTATACATATAGCTATTTGTTTCACAATCTCAAATAATACATATTTAGGCAGCTTGAACTATGTTATAAAAATTTAAATTCGTTACATGCCAATAGTAGAGAATTCAAGAATTATGTGTTAGAATTCACTAAACTAAAAGTGAAAATAGACTTACCAATAACACTGCATAATGAATAATTCAACCACATTTTCATGGCATTTTTAACTGTAGAGACCAAAATGTTAAGTCTGGAAATGTTTGGTAGGCATAGATTGCAATAAAATCTAACAAATTCTAATAAATTTCTACTTTATGTAAAACTCAAATTACGGACTGTGCATAAACATGTTTGTCATGAAAATGTGGTACTTCTTGGCATAATCTGTGTATGTGTATTTGCATGGTATGATAGAAGTGACTAAGAAACTGGAGAAAATAAACTTAATGAGATTCTCCATTCAATGATGAGGCTTCTCCTCTGGGTGAAGATGACCTGGACATTCCTCTCTCTGTGTTATCAGAGCTAGAACCACTCTGACTATGTTGATCTGCAGAAGCAGCACTAGACGCAGGTGGTGACTTTGTTTTCTCCTTAAAGTCTGTAATAATGACTGTTAGATCTCCAACGGTAACTTCCAAATGCTGAGCACTACTCCGATCCACATTTTTCAATCTTGGCCTAAGCACAAAAGATGGTAAAATGTCAGTCCAGCTGTTATCTCTCACAGCTTATAATGAATAGTAAATTAGGTAAGTATAACAAAACATGAATACATCTATGCTTAAAACTCTAGATTCATGTGGAACTTGTATGTTTCAAATCATTAACACTGATCAAACCAATCATTCATGAAACTTTTTCAACATGACAGAAACTGTGTTACCATGATAGTGGCTCAAAATTGTGCTTCTCTGGTGGCGTAGTGCCTAAGGCATCTGACTGCTAACCAGAAGGCTGGCAGCGCAAACCCACCAGCCACTCCTTGGAAGGAAGACTGGGCAATCTCCTTCCGTAGAGATACAGTCTCAGAAACCCAAGGAGGGGTCGCTATGAGTTGGATTTGACCTGATGGCAGCAAGTTTGGTTTTTTTGGTTATATTACAGTTTTACATACAACTTATTATGTTGAGAACAGCAATGGAATAGCTGCCCACAGAGACAGGTGGTAAAAGTTAAGGTTGAGCTATATATAGGGCTGTTACTCCACCAATGTGCACTGATAAGGGTATAATGACTGTCTATACTGACTGGACGATGATCATTTCTGATTGCTTAAAGCCCACACAAATACCTATTACGCATTTTGAATATCATTCCTGGCTTTATGTATAAAAAACAGACTAGCTATTAACACAAATGTCTTTTTAATCTACTAAAAAACAATGCATCCTTACATTTCAGTTTATATTTGTGTTTAATTTCTAATATACCTTTCAACCACAGAAAAAACTTTCATGGTAATTTATAATAAAGGAGATTAAATATTTTACTTCCAATTTGTATATGAGTGCATCAATGTTAAAAGAATATTAAATGATTAAATTTATTATTTCAAAAATGCTATAAAACACTCTTCAAATTACCTGGTTTTCTTATGACTGTTCTTTTTGCTAGTTGTTTCCTTTTCACTTTTTTCTTTTTCTACTTTATCTTTTTTCTCTTTCTTTGACTGTGTAGGGGGCACAAACTGCTGAGTAACCTGCTGTGCAACCAACTGGGAGACAGGTCGAGGTTTCCTGTATGCAAATTTAAAAAACAAAACAAACCTTTTTTCAATTATTACAAATAAAGGATGTATGTTCTTTATGAGAAAATAACTCATATTATGTAAAGATATATTTTACAATCTTCAAGTATAAAAATTCCTCATGTCAGATATACAATTTAACAAATCAATATAAACTATTGACTTTCCTGCTGTAACTTAACAAAAATAGAACCAAACTATAAAAGTTAATATTCATAACCCAAGGTATATAATCAAACCATTAAAAAATAACTGTTAGGTAAATCAACATTAGAAATTATTAAAATTGTATATCAAACTGAATGCTCACAGGAGGCATCCAAATAAACAAACATAGATTTAAAAGACTAAACTTGAAATTTTCCACTGCAGTAACATTTAACTCATCCCTTCCCTTAGAGAATTGAATAGTTAACCATCTGTGGCAACAACTATTTGTTCTTTCTGTTAAAACCTCTCCTTTATTCACTTAATAAATATTTAATGAATGTCAAATTTTCTCATCCCCTATTACTTAAATCCCTGAAGTTCCTTATGTCCCTAGCTACAATTTATTATGTGTTTTTGACTTTGGAGACCTGCCCAATCCTTTGAGAGTTACCTTCCTACCCACTTATTCAAAAAATGTTGATTGAAAACCTGCAGGAACTGCATCAGGATACATGAAATGTTGCCCAGCTTCAACCTTTAATGCTAGTTTAAGCTGTCACTCTATTGGCCCAGGGACAATGATCCCCCAGCTCGATGGTAGAACTTGGGCAGCTAGGTCAAGATTCAAAGTAAATAGTCTGTTAAATTCTTTAACTACTATAGGGAATAATAAGGGGATAGAGAAGAAATGGAGGAAGTAGGGGAGAGTAAGAAAAATACATTTTAACAGATGGTCTACAAGCATTGGTAACATTATTGCCTTGAAAATTATGACTCTATTTTGGTTAACAGACTTTTTTAAAAAAAGGAAATCATGAGAAAATACTAAGAAATCTAAGATTAAAGTTGTATGGCTGGGAGAAAATTAAGAAACATGCTATGTAATACAGGTACCAATAGATGGATAATGAATTCTATCTAGAATATACAAAGAATGAAAGACTAGGATATCCAGGAAAGATGTTCAATACACGATTTAAAAAGTGGGACTGACACAAATCAGGATAAGAGATACAGACTGAAAGTTACACAAATGGAAGTGATATTGAAACCATGGCATTAAGGTGAAGTTTGTTTAGAAAATTAAAAACCAAAACCAAACACACTCTCGTCAAGTTGGATCTTACTCATAGCGACCCCTCCTTGGGTTTCCCAGGCAGTATCACTACAGAAGTACATTGCCCAACCTTCCTTCCAAGGAGCGGCTGGAGGGTATGAACCACCGCCTTCTGGTTAGCAGTCAAATGCCTTACGCACTATATCACCAGAACTCCTCTTTAGAAAGTTAGCTACAAAAAAGAAAAGGGATTAAGGCAGTACTTGTTAAACATCAGAATCACTTGGACAGTTTGCTTATCCATACCTCTTAGGGTTTCTGATTCAATAGGCCCTGGAATAGAGGTGTTTCTAACCAGTTTTCCAGGTTATGCTGATGCCTCTGGTTGCAACTACATTTGAAAAGAAACTGAAGAAGTACAATGTATTTGCAGAATACTGATACTACTGCAGCATGAAGCCAGAGATGGAGAGCAAGGAGTGGCAGAGAAATCACAAAAAGTAAACTTGAAGAGATAGGAACCAGATAAAGAACAGTTGTCCTCATGTGCCATGAATTCAATTCCAATTCATAGAGTTCTTACAGAACAGAGCAGCACTGCCCCATACAGTTTCCTAGGCTGTAATCTTAATGAAAAAGCACCCTGGTGGTTAAGCACTCGGCTGCTAAGCGAAAGGTCTGAGTTTCGAACCCACCAACTGCTCTACCATAGAAAGATGTGGCTGTCTGCCTATGAATCCTATGGGGCAGTTCTCCTCTGTCCTATAGGGTGACTGTGAGTCAGAACAAAGACTTTTTTTGGTTTTTATCTTTACAAGGGAAGATTACCAGGTCTGCATTTAGTGGCAGAGCACTTAACCACTGTGTTATCAGGGCTTCTTAACTGGCACTGTACAACTAAAATACAAGATACGCAATGACTATCTGTTGAAAAATGAATGATAAAAATCAAGGTTTAATGAGAAAGAAGAGGCTTTTTAAGAAAAGGAGCACCGCCTCTAAGCTTACTCACCAGCTAGGATCAACCTTTACAAAAAAAAATCATTGCCATTGAGTGTCAATTCCAAGACTCACCGTGATCCTTTTCCTTTTCTGAACCTAGACTAGAAATCATTAAAAGTTTCTAACAACCAATAAATTGAAGTTAGTTATTTAGTAGCCATTATTACTAACTTCAGATGTATAAAATTGTTTATATTCTCTTTGATTTAATGCTGCCTTTAAGTAAAAGTGATTATTTACTATAGCTTTTTCTAAGCTAATTAATGACCTCAGTACACCAATTTTAACTTTGCATAAGATGTAAATATCTCAATCATGAACTCTCTTACTGAAAAGATTTTCAGGATTATTTTCAGTGTCTGTAGTTAGATTCAGAATATTGTATAACCCAATCAAGCAACCATATGAGATCAAATGGGCAGCATTTGTTCAGGGATAAAGCTCAGAAGGCAAGAGGGTACAGGAAAGGAGGAGGAATGGAAACAGAAAACGCAGGGAGTAAGTGGGAAGAATGCTGTTTACATCATGGGGATTGCAGTCAATGTCACAAAACAAAGTGTGTATGAATTGCTGAATGGAAACCAACTTGCTCTGTAAACTTTCACCCAAATCACAATACAAAGTGAAGGAAGGAAGGAAGGAAGAAATCAAATGACATAATGCACTGGGAAAATCTGCTGCCAAGCTCTCTTTAAAGTATTATAGAGCAAAGATGTCACTTTGAGGTATAAGGTAAGGAGCTCTGGTAGCATAGTGGCTAAAGCACTTGACTGCTAACCAGAAGGCTGGCGGTTCAAACCCACCAGCCACTCCTCGGAAGGAAGGTTGGGCAATCCTACTTCCGTAGTGATACTGCCTCGGAAACCCAAGGAGGGGTCGCTATGAGTCGGGGCCGACTCGACGGCACACAACAACAACAACAACAATCCAAACCATGGTACTTTCAAAAGCCTCAAAATGCATGTGAGAGTTGGACAATGAATAAGGAAGCCCAAAGAATTGATGCCTTTGAAATATGGTGTTGGCAAGGAATATTGATTATACCATGGATGGCCAGAAGAATGAACAAATCTGTCTTGGAGCCATTATGCTCCTTAATGGAGAAAGACAACATGCTTGGTAAAGTAATGGATTAGCAAAAGAAGAAGATCCTCAACGAGATAGACTGACACAGTGGCTGCAACAGTGGGCTCAGACTAAACAACGATTATGAGGTTGGTGCAGGACCAGGCAGTGTAGTTCAGAGTTCACTATGAGCTGGAACCACCTCAGCAGCACCTAATAGTAAGGATTTTAAGAGTATCTCCCTGCAGTCATTTTCTCTTTTCATATGGCCCTTCACTCTGAAAATGAAAGTACACTAAAGTAAACAAAAACCCTGCCATAGAATTGATTCCAATTCATAATAACCCTTTAGGGCAGGGGTGAACTGCCCCATATGGTTTCTGAGGCTGTAACTCTTCACAGAAGCAAACTGCCTCATCTTTCTCCCTCACAGCGACTGGTGGATTCTAACCACCGACCATTTGGTTAGCAGCCCAATGTTTTAACCACTGCACCACCAGAGATCCTTATGAAGAAAGCGTGCTGTTGTTGCTATTACGTGCTGTCAAGTTGGACCCAACTCACAGCAACCCCTCCTTGGGTTTCTGAGGCAGTATCACTATGGAAGTAGATTGCCCAACCTTCCTGCTGAGAAGTGGCTGGTGGATTTGAACTGCCAGACTTCTGGTTAGCAGTCAAGTGTCTTAGGCACTATGCTACCAGAGCTCCTATGAAAGTATGCTAGTAGAGCATATTTTATTTCCTACAACCATGAGGTTGAGTAAATAAATTTTAAAATATTTAAACTATTATGAATCTAAAATCCTTCTAAGTCCTGTACTCCCAGTGTTAAGATAAAACTGTTCAATAAATGTACACTACTCCCAGGAAACAAAACCAACACATAAAGAACAATTAGATGAACTGGCCAAGAGAGAGACTCGAATCAGGAGATAAGCTAAAAGATTTCCGTATCAAATTAGACTGAAGTGACATTGATAAAGGTGTGTGTGTGTGTATATATGTATGTATTATAAATAAATAAGTATGTATGTATGTATGTATGTATGTGAG